GCAGATATTTGGCTTATTTTTTTTACCCATTCTGCCAGCCTATGTCTCTGGAGTGGACAATTCAAGTCGTTCATGTTTATTGAAAGAATTGATAAGTGGGATGCATTTCTGTTCATCCTGTTGGGTAGAACCTTATTGCTTTGTTGTACCTCTTGAACTATTATTTCGTATAGGCTCTGAGTTTTAGCTTTTGGGTGATTTTACACTGGCGGGTTTCTACTGTGCTGATCAATGTATAATGCCAATCTGAATACTTCCTGCAGGGCAGGTCTAGTCTTGACAAATTTCCTCAGTGTTTACTTGTCTGATAATTTTTATTTCTCCCTCATATAAGAAACTCAGTTTTGCAGGATAAAAAATTTTAGGCTGGTCATTATTCTATTTAAGAAGACTAAAGATGCAGCCCCAATTATTTCTGGCTTATAAGGTCTCAGTTGAGAAATCTCCAGTTAGCCTGATGGGTTTTCCTTTGTAAGTTACCTGATGTTTTCACCTTATAGCCCACAGGAGTTCCTCCTTCATATTAATTTTGGCTAATCTGATGACTATGTGTCGTGGTGATTGCCTCTTTGTGATGAATTTCCCAGGTGTTCATTGAGTTCTTATACCTGTATATTTGAATTTGTAGCAAAATCAGGGAAGTTTTCCTCAATTATTCCCTCAAACAGGTTTCCCAACCCTTGGGTGTTTTCTTCTTCACCCTCAGGGATGCCTATGATTCGTATTTTGGGCCTTTTTACATAATCTCATATCTCTTGTAAGCTTTGGTCCTTCCTCTTAACTCTCTGTTCTTTATCTCTGACTGACGTGTTTAATTTGAAGGTGTTGTCTTCAAGATCTAAGATTCTTTCTTCCACCAAGTCTAGTCTATTCTTAAGACTTTCCACTGTGTTTTGTATTTCTTTGAATGAGTTTTTCACTTCTAGAATTTCTATTTGATTTTTTTTTAATTATTTTGATTTCTTTAGTGAACTTTTCACTCATTTACTGAATTTTTCTGTGGTTTCTTTGTGTTGGTTTTAAATTTTCTCTTGTATTTCATTGAGCTTACTTATAATCCATATTTGGAATTCTTTATCTGTCATTTCAATACTCTGATTCCTGGTTGGTATCCATTGCTACAGAGCTGGTGTTCCGTTTTGGGGGTGACATTTTGGTCTGATTCTTCATACTTCCAAAGTTCTTTCATTGATTCCTTCTCATCTGGAGCAGCTGTTGCTTCTTATTTTTGAATTTTCTTTTGTTTAGATATGGGTCTGTTCATAGCATATGTTGGGTAAGAACCTTTGGCTTTGCTTGTTGGTTTGATAGCAATCTAGGTTCTGGGTGGATGCCTTTGCTATGGATATCCCTGATGTGGCGATTTGCTCAGTTGCTAGTTGTTTGTAGGCTGTAGGGATGGTGAGCTGTGTGAGTGGCCAGAATCCTTGTCTCTGTTTGATGAGAGAGGATGGGGGTCTTTGAAATCCTTTCTCTTTCCCCAGTCCTGTGGTCTTCTTAACAGTGTGAATGTAATGGCACACCCAGTTTAATCTCTGAGACAGTAGGTAGTGTTTGTGAGTGAGAATCAACCACCCCCTGTATTATTGAGTCAGTAAATGCTGTAAAGGGTGTGCAAATTGACCTCCCTGTCAGTAGGTGGTGTTTGCCAAAAGGAACAAGCTGAGATGTGGCTTTTGGGTCCTGTGGACAAATTCCTGGAAACTCACAACCTTCCCAGGCTCAAACAGGAAGAAATAGAACTCCTAACCAGAATAATTATGAGCAATGAAATTGAAGCAGCAATAAAAAATCTTCCAACCAAAAAAAGTCCCAGACCAGATGGTTTCACAGCCAAATTTTATCACATCTACAAAGAAGAATTGATATCCATACCTTAGAAATATTTTCATAACATCAAGAAGGAAGGAATCCTGCCTGACTCATTCTATTAAGGCAGTATCATCTTGATACCAAAGCCAGGAAAGGACAAAACAAAAAAAAGACAACCATAGATTAATATCCCTTATGAATATAGATGAAAAAATCTTCAATAAATTTCTAGGAAACCGAATTCAGTAGCACATCAAAAAAATAATCCATCACAATCAAGAGGGCTTCATCCCAGGGATGCAAGGGTGGTTCAACATACATAAATCCATAAATGTGATTCACCACATAAACAGAAGCAAAAACAAAGATCATATGATCATCTCAGTAGATAGAGAAAAAGGGTTCAACAAAATTCAGCACCCTTTTATGATAAAAACTCATAACAAAATAGGCATAGATATAACATATCTCAAAATCATATAAGCCATCTATTACAAACCCACAGCCAGCATCATAATAAATGGGGAAAAGTGGAAAGCATTCCCACTCAGAACTGGAACAAGACAAAGATGCCCACTGTCACCACTTCTATTCTATATAGTGCAAGAAGTCCTAGCCAGAGACATCAGCCAAGAGAAGGAAATTAAGAGTATCCAAATGGGGAAACAGGAGGTCAAATTGTAGCTCTTTGCTGATGATATGATCGTATATCTAGAAAAACCCAAAAGATTCCACCAAAAGACTTCTGGACTTGATAAATAAATTCAGCAATGTCTCAGGTTACAAAATCAATGTACACAAATTAGTAGTATTTCTATACACCTCCAACGGTTAAGTGGAAAATCAAATCAAAGACTCAATACCTTTCACAGTAGCTACAAAGAAAATAAAATACCTAGGAACATATATAACCAAAGAGCTGAAAGATCTCTATAAAGAGAAATATGAATCACTGAGGAAGGAAATAGCAGAGGATGTAAACAGATGGAAAAACCATACCATGCTCATGGATCAGCAGAATCAACATTGTTAAAATGTCCATACTACCCAAAGTGATTTATAGATTCAGTGCAATCCCTATCAAATTACCAACATTGTACTCATGCACACAGATAGAAGTCAAACTCAATGGAAATCATGCAGTTGGGAGGGGGGAGGAGGCCATGTGTAAAATCATACCTAAGGTGTACAATGTACACTATCTGGGTGACGGGCACAATTACAAGTTTGACTCCAGCAGTACAAAAGCAATCCATGTAACCAAAACATTTGTAGCCCCATAATATTATGAAATATACGAAAATGTAATTTTATAGTAAGTATTTTTAGTTTGTCTTACTCAATATTCTCTTTGTGAGATTCATCCCTGTCATCACATGTAATCATAGTTCTAGAAACTACCTTTGAAGTTTAGGAAAAGTTCATTAACTGTCCTTTCTATTTACATTGTTTATACCAATCTGAAATCTCCTGTAGCAATGTGAATACTTGTGGTAAAGAGAGGAAGGATTGAAAACCACAAAGAAAAAAAAAAGAACAAAAATTAATATTTCAAGATTTTATTGTCTAAAGGTACAATTTTTAAAATACCAGTTTCATTGATTTGGGAATATGTACATAATAACATAGATAAATTTCAGGAGCATTAAACTAAGTGAAGAACACATACGTAAAAGACTATATGCTATACAATTCCATTTATATAAAATTCTGGAAGAGGCAAGACTATAATGATAGAAAACATATCATTGTCTGCCAAGGACCAAAAATGGTGGTGGGGTGGGGAGCTTTACTGCAAATGGGGTGTGATGGAAATCTTGAAGTGATAAAAATGTTTTATTTCTTGATTATAGTGGTAAATATAATTTTTAAAATACCATGAATAATAGTATAAAAATTATAAATTCCCTAGAAATAAATTTTAAAAAGGAATAAGACATTTATGACATGAGAATAATAAAATCTTTCTGAAAGTTCTTCTAAAAATCAGTAAGAAAAAAACAACCAATGTCTGTAAAAACAGCAAAAGAAATGTACAGATATTTCACAGAAGTGAATGCTCTTCTTTAAACATAAAAGGTCTTAAAATATTTTAAAAAGTTCAATATTATTAATAATCTGGGAAATGAAATTTTAAAACATTATGACAAATCATTTTACACCCATAAGGAATGAAAAAAATTTTAAATTAGGCTATACCACAGTTGGCAAGCCGTTCAGTAATGGGAATTCTTATTCACTGCTGGTGAAAGTGTAAATTATTTCTGCCACTTTAGAAAACAGTTTAGCTTTCCCTATAAACTTCAATATGTATAAATACTATAATCCAGCAGTTTCGTTAGGTATATAGACTCTAGAGAAATTGTTGCACCCTAGGTAAATTCTTGCACATGTTAGCCAGGAGCATATATTAATACAATGTTTACAAAAGCTTTGTTCATTATAGAAAAAACTAGAAACAGCCCAAATATCCATCAACATTAGAAGGGATAAGCAAATTGTGGCAAAGTCTTATATTGGAATACTATAGCACAGTAAAAAATGAATTACCTATAACTATACAGCAACATGAATGAATTTTGCAAGAACATAATTTTGAGTGAAACAATAAAGTCATAAGACAAATGTATCATTTTACTGTATTTATATAGAATGCAAAACCTGGCAAAACTAAGTTATGTACTACTCAGGGATATATAGATAGGTATAAAAGCTCCAAAGAAAGCAAGGAAATGATCAATATGTAATTCAGGATATTTATTGGTTACTGCTCAAGGAGAGCAAAGAGTTGCCATCAGTACGTGGCCTATAAAAGGTTCTAAAGAACAGTGATGTTCTATCTCTTGGACTTGGTGGTATGTACGTAGATATTTATTTGTTGTCCATTAATATGTGTGTATTAATCTGCATTCTTTTTATGTACACTATCTATATTTTTAATTTAAAAATGGCAGATTCCAAGGAACCAAAACAAAATATTTCAATTCATCAGCTTAGGGTGGCACCAAGAAATCTGAATTTTTGTCAAGTTCCTACAGTGATTTTGATAAAGGTAGTCTGAGGACCACATTTTCAGTATCTATTATTTCCATAGTTTCAACTCTTTAGTATTGTAACTTAGCATTTCAAAAAGAGCTACAACATGATTAAAGGAGGCAGTTTATAATAAATAAACACACAACCCTTCCAATTCCAGAAATTACAATTTTACTGTGCAAGAAATCTAAACATTTACAAAGGAAAATGAAAAAAAGTTTCATTTTTAGACCATATTTGGAAAGTTATACAAGATTCTGATAAACAAATATCATGCAACATCTCCGTACCATGCCAGTACCATACAGAGAAAGAAACACAGCCAACCGTCTTATCATAGGTTGAGGTATTTAGTACCCAAAAGTCAACCTAGTGCTCTCTCTATTTATTATTTGCCTATAAAAATATAAAACCTTGGCATCTTTACAAAACATGAAATTATTTTCAATGAAATTTATAATAATAAAATTTTGTTAAAGGAAATAAAATATAAGAAAAATGACAAAGGCCAACTGTCAGCCAATATTAATGTTAAATTTTCCTAAGATGCATTAAATTATAACAGTCAGTACAAGCAACAGTATTTAATTATTTTAACCATCTTATTTTAACCAGGCAACTTTGCTATGGCATAATTTTATTCTACATATATACAGATTGTGTTATTATCTATACACATCAAGGAACTCCTCCAGTCACAGTATCTCAATAGCAATGATTGTTTTTCAGGCAGAAAGTTTTCCTGTGGCTTTTTGCTGACAGCAAGGGGCAAAGGTGGCCATTTATTTCCATGTTCAATTCATTCAGGGAAGTCTGAACTCCAAGCTCATTGTTTTTCTCATGGAATGATGAGCAGTATTAAAGATTTGGACTGATAAATAGTGTCTCTGGTTGAACATATCAAACATTAGCTACACTTTTGATTTCTGTGCTTCTACAAGACTGTATGACCCTTTCATGTTGGCTTTTCTTGCAAAGTAGATGATCATTCCGATGGCAGGTATTATTAAGGAGGATACACAATAAAGCACGAGAAGTTCAGGAGAAAAATAGTCCCTGTTATTTTCTCTTCCTGGAAAAATAACAAAATGGATGCAATTAATGTCTAGTACAAAAAGAAATCATTTAATAATAATAGTTACACATTTTATTATAACAGTACAATTAGTTCTCCAACGAGAAGTGAATTAAAACAGTGATAAGGACCATCAGGACCCAAAGTGCATATTTCTCTGAATTATCCATATAATTAGTTGGTGATTGCTATGGTCATGATGGGTCTAAAGATGACAGTCAAAAAAATAAATAACTAAAGATGACAATCATTAACTTCCACAAACTTGGATTCAAATAGGTTCACGTTCAGTTGTAGAAGGAAAGTGAGGGTGCAACTTTTTAGGCCTTGTTTAATAAGAACGGGAATTAGAGAGGGCTGTTTGTGTTGGGAAACAGAAGTATCTACTAAAGAACTAGTACTCTGATCACCGTGAAATGTGAAATGTCTAATCAGTTCTCCAAGAAAATCCTTATAACAGAGTTTGACCATTAAAGTCAAATACCATAAACAAGATAGAAAGAGAAAAAGTTCTTACCAATGGCTTTTTCAGAGACATACAGAAAATTTTATGTTTTGTGTGTCAAAAACGGGGCATCTTAATATGTTATTCCTCTTCAGCACTTATATCATCTTTCAAAAAACTGAAGTTCTTAGATACTGTTATGTTTCAGCTTCAATTTTATTTACTCATAGAGGCATTCTCTGATCCACATCTCCCCCAGTCTAAATTAAGAACCCCAACATACTCTCAAAACCTACAACACTTTCCCTTCATAGCCCTTATCACAGCATCACAGCTTGCAATTAAAGATTTGTTCATACGACTATCTATTGAATTTGGTTTCCTCCTCTAGACTGTAAAACATATGAAGACATGTATGTCCATTTTCTTTGTGTTCTGTCACTGCATAGCCAGCACCTGACTCGCTGCTTGGTGTAATTGGCACCCCAAAAATATTTCGAGCACTAATACAATTTTTTCTTTCTACATCCTGTCATTTTGCCATTTAGTTGTAAATGAAGCACAGAAGGTAATAGTATATAAAACTTTAAAATTAATGTTCTTTTTAATCTACTAAAAATCATATGACAGCTGCAATATCATTTAACATCTTAACCTTATAAAAACATCTGAAGAAGATACTATGTCATATACTGAAGACTCGTTTCTCTTTATACTTTGTTTGCATGGCACTGTATGACCTCACAAAGTTTCACTAAGGGGCATATATGTTGCCTCAATCCTGGCAGAAATAAATGATCTGACTTTGGTGATCACTACATTCCTTATAAGGCTTTCTAATTACTGGAGGTCAACCAGGTGAAAAAGACTCACTAGCACCAGAGGATGTGAAGTCATTTTTTTCCAAATTATTGAAGAAAAACACTTCACCCTAAGCATAACGATAATTGACTCATTTTCTACCTTCTCTTGCAAGAATTGAGCTAGTGCTAGTCAAAGTATAAGGGTAATATTTGAACGAGATATCCACCATCATAATTATTGTTAGCCATCAATATTGATGACCTGCTAAATAGTGATACTTCTATTTCTATTGTTTTCTTTTCAACTTCATAAATATCTTTTGCCTTTCAGCTTTCTCTCAAGCATCTGCAGAAAAACAGAAATTTGCTGCTAAGTCAGTTGCCAGGGCAACTACAATTTTCTATTGGTTATATAAACACTGAATATCTTAAAGACTCCTGACCATTTCCATCAATGGAATACAATCAAGCCAAAACAAAAGGAAACAAATAAAAAACCCAGCCAAATACAAAGGAAAGTTAGTTGAAAATACCCAGAAAATTGTCAAACTTTTTTTGTCTCCATTGATATCTAGCTATTTTAAACTATATTCAGGTTGGGGGCATGAATTTCCAACTGAGTACCTAATATTCTTTGATGTTCATTTAAATAATGAGTGAAAAGTGGCAAATATGTAAGTGGATAATTTAATAAAGCAATTAGAAAAGACAACAATGTGGAAGAGACAAAGTTAAAAAGTGGAGAAGCAGCTCTGATGTGACTTTAAAAGAGAGCAACTAACTACAAACAGAAAGAACTACAGAAATGTCAGGAGACCAATTCCCTGGCACTGGGCTTAATAAAAAGTTCTCTGGAGGCACCAAGGATCAGAGAAAATAGGAATGAATGTATTTCAACCTACTCATAACTGAGATCTCGATCCATCCAGAATCATCCCCAACCTCACTAGAAGCACTGAGTACATATACCCTGTGTCATTTTGAGTGACATGATACAAGGTAAATGTTCCATTCTTCAAAGACATAGTAACTCCATTGGCCAGATCAACTCTTTTCAGGATAATCACTGCAAGTGGATGATTAAAAATTTTACATGTAATCATGATATTTTCCCCTTCTTTAACATCTCTAGATGGATGTATTGATACTGTCATGTTTCAAGGAGAGATTTATTGTGAAGACAGAAAACATGGTAAAGCTTACAATGTTGAGAAATTTGGCCAGACAGTAAAATTTTTACTTGTTTCCTGACTTAGATTCAAACTTTCTCTACATTGACAAGTGGCTGCTAACTCTGTTAGCCAAGTGCCAGACCTCATAAAAGTTGGCATTTGTTTACACTTGGCATTTGTTTACAGTCCTGTTTGCATGCCACTGCCAAGTATGGCTTCCAATACACAACAGTCACTCATTAGCATGCAAGGAGTGTGAAACCGATTAGCCAAGGCTAATGCACTCTGCTCATACCAGTAAGATCAACACATCCTACTCACTGAGCATTAGCAGGGGGAGTTGAGAGTTTAGGGGCCTTCTGAAGTTTCTCCATGAGGACATTGCCCCTCCCTTTCTCTCTCCATCAGAATAGGGTAGGATGGCAAGGCACTTGGAATTTTAAGGAGGCCTTTCTGTAGTACAGAGATCTTTTTAATGTTGTTTAGGATCAAGTTTGCTACACTCAATTATTATCCTGAAAGAAAATATGCAGTTACTCCCTGTTCAGAAAATAGCATTCTTTTCTGGTAGGAAGGAAGAGGGTCCTTCTTTTTCTATATGCCAGTCCTACTTTTTTAGTTTCCTTATAACCCCCAGGGAAAGGTTTGGAAAATATGGTTAAACATTTAGTAAATGCAAGACCTCAGAGACCAATGATGAATTGTAAACTTTGAAAAAAGCAAATGGGAATTCCACACTCACCAATGATTAATGTCAACTTCCTTGCTTAACTCTATAGGATACAGCAGCTGTGCTTGATTATTTCAAGAAACATTAAGAAATAACCAAATCAACATAGAATTCAGCTCCATTTTGCCAACTCACTTACCTAATACTAGAAAGTCTTTACAATCCATGGAAACTCTGAACTATTATAAAGAAAACCCTAAAAACAAAAAACTAACCTTTAACATCAAGTGTTAAACTTTTTAATTTTGAGCCAATTTCATTTTTAGATTCACATTCGTAAACCCCTGCATCCTCCAACTGGGCCTTGCGGATGGTATATGCGCCATCTATAGATTTTAGCACTGTGTCTCCTGTCTCTGCTTTTTTCTTCAGGATTATCCATGTTTCTGGAACATTTCCACATGTACAGGAGATAATGACAGTGTCTCCTTCTTTGACACTCTCAGAAGGAAAAGCTGTAAGTTTTATGTCTTCTGGAGCAACTGTAAAGAGAATTTAAAAGGTACCCCTGATTAAGTGAAATAGAAATCAACTCCATATTAATTTATAACACCAACACTAGCTGCCAGGGAGGTATTCGTGCTTATTGTTTGCATCAGATGTTAAGAAGGGCAAGTAAAGAAGTCAAGAATTTACTGGATTGTTGGAAATTATCATGTTATAAACAAGAGAAGACATGTCATACTTCTCTCATGCCCCTTAATATAATTCTTTACCCAGCCTAGCATAAAAAAAAATAGGTGTTTAATAAATAGCTATAGAATTCAAATGTGAAAAAGAAAATTAATCTTTTGTCACAATATTTTACAAAGTTTTCTTGCAAGTACAAAGGCCTTTACAGGCTTCTGGGTTTTGACTTGGATCCTCCCAGATTAAGAAATTAAGCTGTATAGAGATGGCTTTTTCAATATCCTAAACAACACCACTACCATTTATCAAGTTCTAGGCACTACGTGACATATAACATCTTTATTAACGCAACAACCCATGGGGGAGGTACCACATCACCATTTTTTAAGCAAGATTCCTACCAAGGTCATCTATTTTGTGACCTGATTTGAAATTCTTTCCCCATCCAAGGCTGTGACAGCTATCCTAAAAATTGTGGTTTTTTTTTTTTGAAGGTTGTGCATTGCCTTCCAAAATTATTCCTTTAAAATGCAAATCTTATTGAGATGAGGTTATTAATATCAATATTTTAGTGGAAATAATACCACGGAGTAAGAGAGGAAATGACAGCCCTAGTGAAGAAAAGAACCCTGGTGCCCAAAAAGGAAAGTAGAGGGGCAAATCCAGGTTGATCACTTCATAATTGACTTCAACCTGCGAACTAGGAATTGTTTGGTTTTCAGTTTTGGGTCTCCATCCTGGAGAGAGGGGGCCTAGATCACCAGGCTGATGAGTCAGAGGACACAGTCGCTACTACTCTAAATCTTAGAATTTGCAAAAGGTTTAAGTGCTGTCTTAGGCTTCTAAGTTATTACTAGTAGGCATCTTTTAAAGACAAATATTGTCGCTTTAATCCTAAGTAATTCCCAAATACATATATACCTCTTCCTATTTTTATTTCAACACCATGATCATTGCCTGATAAATGTAACTGGAACTTCTGGCACAGTACCCAGAGCTAACATTTCACTTGAAGTTAGAGAACTTTCAAGATAAATAACTTGTAATTTCAGGAGCTTTCCATGCATAGGAAACATCATGAACTCTTCAAAGCCCTCAATACACTTTTGTAGTAAAAATTCTATTTTCAAAGAGGACTTTGCTCATAACCAGTCACACAACCGAAAAGATACGAGTAACGATAACTCATTAATCACACTCTATTCACCTTGGATAATTAATTCGACTTCTTTTCTGCTTATTCCAGCCTGGTTAATCCCATCACACACGTAAATTCCAGAATCTTCCATTGTTGTAGAAATTAAGGTAAGAGTTGCATTCTCAGAAAGAGGCTGAAGAGCCCCATTATTTAGCTTCCTGCTCCACAGGATTTTCGGAGCTGGAAGGCCATCGCTGGAGCATGTCATGGTCACAAAACTGCCTTCCTCCAGGATGGAGGATGGGCTGACCAAGACAGTTATATCTCTGGGGGCAACTGAAAAGGTAGAGACACTTGTTAGCTTGACTTCTTGTACCCTGAGTTCCAAAGAGTTTTAATAATGTTGCAAAACTGGGTATGGATTCAGACAGTTTATAAACCTTGATAACTTTCCCAAAGGAAGTTTCTGTCCTGATTTACTCTAGCAGATACAGAATGAAAGAGTAGAATATGGATACATCATGGATATTTTCTAATGGGAGTAAGTTCCATAGAAACTCTCTTGCTACCAAAGAATGGATGGTCAATGATAGTGTGTATTGCTGTTTCTGGTAGATTAAACATGACCATGAATTATTTGAATCTCCTCCTGTGAAAAGATGTGGCCTCTTTTTCTACCCCTTGATTGTGAGTTGGCCTTGTGACTCACTTTGACCGATGTAACGTGGAAGCAGTAACACTGCATGACTCCCAAACCGAGGCCTGTAAGAGGCTATTTTTGTTTTTAACCTTCTTGAAACACTGCTCTGTGAGTAAACTTAGGTTACCTTCCTTGAGGATGACGAAAAGAGGCCACGACATCCCAGATAAGGCCCCAGACTTGTGAGTGAGGCGATCTGAGACCAATCAACCCTGCTGACCTTACTGAAAATGTTTAAGGGAGCTCAGCTGGTACCATATTGAGCAGACTGCCCAGCTGGCCCGGTCCAAATTGCCAACCCATAGGATCATGAGCAAATAAATGGTTATTATTTCAAGTTTTGGTAGGGGGTGGTTTCTTATAATCATCATTCTTTTGAAATTTCTTTTCAGCTATGTTTTTTTTCCACAGAGGTTTTAACTATTAACCTTATGTTAACTATTGCCTGGCAAACATGGTAAAGAAATCCATATTAAATTGTGGATACATCACATATGTACTTACCATTGACATAAAGTGTCTGTGTACTCTGCCTTTGTTTGGGTTCAAATTCCATTTCATCAATATGTAACTTAGCCCGACAAACAAGAACTTTTCCAGTATCTTCAGTGGTGGGGATGAAGGTCATTTCCAAACTTTTGGTCTCTAGGGATTGCCCATCCTCTCCCTCTGAAAAGTTTTTATTTTCCAGAATAGTCTCCCCCTTAAGTAATTCAATCTCCAGCCGGTCAAAAGGGTACACATTAGGAACCTTGCAGCTTACAGTGACGGGACTTCCATTCACTAGCGGACCACTCATCTCAATTTCCGGATCGCTAGGGAATGCTACAAATATCAAACAAAAATGATGTTTATAAGTGACATTCAAGGAAAAATTGAATTAAGCTCTATTAAATGTAAAGATCTCAAAACGACAGCTTTAACTCACCTGGAATAGAGTGATCATTAATATATAAATAATGACATTAATATTAATAGTTAATATTTATGATATTAAATATAAATAATGTTGGAAACAAAAAATACTTAATACATCATCATCCAGTAATAAATATTTTTTATTTCTTATTTTTCTCTTGCTAGTGATGCAATCACGTTGAGTGCCATGGCTTGATCTTTTCTAAGGACACATCAGCTTCCACCATCTTATTTAGTAACAATACATTTTAAATGTTTTAAATATTTGCCATGATGTATTGAATACTGCATATGAACTAGTGTCTTAACATCCATTATCTCAGTCTTCAAAGCAGCCAGATGAAATGAGTATTATTTAATTTATTTCATAGCTTGGAAAACTGAAATGTTACAGAGGTTAAGAGATTTTCAGTACACATCATACCTAGTAAGTCACTGAGCTGATATCGGAATTGTGTTTCTCTGACCTCAGAGCCCAGGCATGGTTTCACAGAGCTATGTAGCTCTATATCAAATAAGAGCCACAGGGCAGTTCTCAATTTAGACAGTTGAAATTCTAATGACCAAATTCATGCAGCAGTTTTTAAATATTTCTCAGATAATATCTGCAATTATGAAAAGAATTGGCTTAACTGTATTATTTAGAATCTAACCTGAGAGATTTATATTCTAAATAATAACATTTATAATATATCCTATGCAAATCAATAAAAATGAGATTAAAATAGTTATCAAGGACAATTGTAATGCTAAAAAAAATTTTCCTTAAGCAAAATGTTGTTAACGTGATACATTCTCAAATATTTCCATATTGAAATAAGACTTCACTGCTGGTTCTCATTTCTGTTGGGAATGTGCCTACATCAGCAGATCATGGATTCTGGGTAATATGATAATGCAAATGAAATTTAGCCTTCTTTTGAGAGATTCAAATCCCTTTATAGACATACTCTAACTCATTCTGAACAAAATCCTGAAGGGTATCACAAGTTTGGGCAAGGATTCTGTTGGAAAATCTCTACAATATGTTCTCTGGAGTTCCGCTGAATAAAACAAGGCAAAGTAACCCTCTCAGAGACCTAATTTTGTGGTCACTTTGCATATTTTGTCCCTCACTCATTATAGACTGAGGAACTCCAGCAATGTCAAACTATAGAGATTTGAGGTTGTAAATAATGTTTATTAAGGCGACAGGAAGAGCAAGCAGAAGTGTAGCGCGTACGCAGTGTAGATCAGCACTGAGATCCAGTGCTGCCTCCTGATTCTGCTCTTCCCCTGCTGCCACTGGCCATCCTCGTCTCCAGTCGAACACTTTATCATGATTCTTGGCTTTCTTCTGCTTAATTTTCTTCCCATCCTATAGATCGGTTTTCCAAATGTGCCATTAAAACAGCGGGTCAGGCCTCACCTCCAATCTGGATATTTGAGCAGCCGTCACCCCCACCCGGTCATCTGTATTCACCCCCTCCATCCACCCGATATACACGTGGAAGGGCTGGAAAGCAGGGAGCATGGACCGTGTTCAAGGGCACGATGAGAGGGTACTGACGAGACCCAAACTTGTCAATACATCCGCCAGATTGTGGATGTTGTGTACACACATAATGTGTACTTAAGATTTAGGCCAATTATGCTGCATCAAACCATTGTGGTTCAGAGATTTAGGAACCGTTCACAATGCTAAATTGCCTTCCTAAATATAGGGAGCTCATTGCATGTCACAGACTCGTATTCTTTTCCTTCCAATGGGATTGAAAATAAATAAATGAAAAAACAAACAAACAGGAAACGATTCTGAAAACCACTTACAGTAGAGCTTCACATGGATCCCCTTTTTCTGTTTCTTATGTCCACAGGTCACTGTGCACAGGTAAGAGCGTTCGTTTGCAAAGCTCACACGGCTCAGAGTCAGCGTGGACTTGGTGCCCTCACTCCTCACATTCTCACGCAGAGGGCTGTCTATCTGGGTTTCCCAAGAGAAAGACGGGAACTCGCAGTCTGTGACACCACATGTCAACACAACTGAGTCCCCAATCTGAGCAGCAATCTGGGGACCAGGGGAGATCTCAACAGTAAATGGTTTCTCTGGGGAGGAAGAAAAGGACAAGATGAAAAGAGGATAAGATTCTTTTCTCCTTTTATCACAATCCATTATATGATCTTTATTTTTCCTGATCTCCTTTCAGGTATTTGTGCCAAGAAATGACTCCTCTCCGCCTTGGGACCATCAGGAATGAGACCACATCTTTTAAGAATGAATCTATGACAGTCTGTTGATTCATGCACTTAACAGAATGAATGCAGATAAAAATTTGTCAAGACAGGTTGACATCTTTTCATAGCAATAATCCAGTCTCTGCTCATATGTAGTTTGCCAAATCACTGTAATAGTGGACAATAGCTCAAATAATTTAAATGGTTCTTGTATGTCAAGCATTATGTAAGCCACTTTCTCTTTCTCCTTCTGCTTCTACACCTTCTCTCTTTTATCCTCCTTCTCTTTCTTTATGAGGAAATTTAGGCTCAGAAATGCCAAATAACCATACCCAGCTTGTGAGAGGCAAAATTAGGACTTGATGCCAGGTGGGTCTGATTCAAGATCCTGGCTTTTCAGCTGTGAAAACAACTCAGTCAAGTTACCCTCATGTGGAGATAAAACAAGATGTAAAAGAGGTATTGGAGAAAGCTACACAAAATGTCTTTTAATTAAAAGCAGTACCCAATACCCATAATGGACCAGCAGTTAGAGCTTCTGTTCCAATAATACAAAGTTGTACCGCTGAAAGTCACACAGAATCTCATTGAAAGCAAAGTCAAAATCTAAGCATTAAAGTGATACATAAGTCACCTCCAAAGTTTTGCTTGATGCAATATAAAATATTTTACAATTAATTCAGGGGCTGAAAGCTCATACATGAGAGCAAACTCCTAAGTCTCAAGTATCTAGAAAGTCCCTTTGGCCATCAGTGTCCTCCCTGATAGGCACACAGACTTCTTTTGGATGACCACTGTTTAGAGAGAAAGGGAATTCTAAATCTTGTCTTTGTTCCCCTGAAGAAACTGGGAGTGGTCGGGCAACTCTGAAAGTGATAGATGAAACACTACAGAAAATCACTAAAATCTTCCTTGTAAATAGCAGATTAGAGATAGAAGAAATCTCAAATCATAAATAATCCCAATCAACTACGTCTTGCATGGTTCTCATCTGTGCCAGAAGCTATTTTTCTCAATTTGGTTTATCTTAGTATTTTCCAAAGACGGATCTCCTCAACAAACTGATTTGCTATTAGATTTGCTATTAGAAAGAGAGATCTTTCAGAATACTAACCAGAGTTCTGAATTCCTTATATGCTAGTATAAGAATGAGGAAGTTTAAACACAGATGCACTTTCTGCCTGTGAACACTTCTCAGATCATTCTTCAGAGTGGCTACGTATATTACCATGAGAACTTGTAGCTCTGGGGGAGTAATTCTTTTAAGTAGCTGAAAGGTCCTTTAAAAGTTCAATTCTACCTTCAGTACTTAAGGTCATTAGTATCCCATGTGACGCAAAGTGCAAAATCACTCTCCCCAACCCCAGAACACATTTCTTCTGAGCATTGAATTGTGATGCATCTTATTATGGGGTGGAACTAACCCAGGCTGGATAATAAGCTTTGTACACTTGTATTAGTGTGATATTTTTCCCTATCACTTGAGAATGCTAATCGAATATCCAACTGAGGTAATTAATTGATGGTCAGTTTGAATTGTTTTTAATCACCCAAGTTTAAACTCCATGTTTCCACATTTGTGTTGTTCATGTTTACAATTTATTCATTCATTCAACAAACATTTACTGAACACTTATCATGTGTCAAGGACTGTGCTAGGTGCCCAAACAGTAAAACGCACACACACACACACACACCCACACACACACACAGAGTTCCTGCCTTAACTAAGCTTAAGGCTTAATAGAAAGACACATTTAAATACTTACACAATTCTTGGATTCTTGGACAAGTGTCCTTAATTAATAGGTGTTGAACAGAGTAGAAGTGCATATAGTCGTGTTGAGTGTACACAAAGGGAAGATCGAGCAGCTCGGCCTGACACAATGTGGAATTGGGAGGTTGACAGGAGCTTTGTCTTGAAGGATGGCTGAGACTTTGCCAAGTGAAGGAAGGAGAAAGGCCATTCCAGGCAAAAAGAACAGCATAAACAGAGGCATCGAGTCACCAGCAAAGCTGCAAAGGTAGTTTCTGACCAGACTCTGAAGAGTTATATGTAACTACTTTAATAAATATATGAATTCATATAAAATGAACATCTTTTGTGTTTTGTGTTTAAAGTAATTAACTCTAGTAGCAGTGCATAGGACTGGTTATCTTGGGGAAAGAATGATAGCAGGGAGACCATTTAAAGACAATTAGCTATAAAACACATGCAATACTACTCAGCCTTAAAAAAGGAAATTCTGTCATTTGTGCCAACATGGTTGAACCCAGAGGACATTACGCTAAGCGAAATAAACCAGGCACAGAAAGACAAACACCACATGATCTCACTTTTAAGTGGAATCTAAAAAAGTCAAACTCATAGAAGTAGAGAGTAGAATAGTAGTTACCAGAGGCTGGGGGTTGGGGAGTAAGGTAATCAGATGTTGATCAAAAGGTACATAGTTTCAGTTTCACGGGAGATAATAAATTTTTGAGACCTGTTGCACAGCATGGTGACTACAGTTAATAATAACGTATGTTTTAAAATAGCTAAAAGAGTAAATTTTAAATGTCTCAACACAAAAAATGATGTGAGGTGATGAATATGTTAACTGACTTGGTTTAATCACTCCACATTGTATACATATAACAAACATCACATTGTACCCTAGAATTGTATGCAATCATGGTTTGCTAATTTAAAAAATATTAATTTTTAAAAAATAAATCACAAAGACAATTAGCTATAATTGAAAAGGCATGGGTTTTAGATTAAAACAAGCCTTATTAAAATAACAGAAAATGCAACTAAAGAGCTATTTGATTATAGGCAAATTATGAACTATGCTGAGCCTGAGTATTTATCCACCTCATAGTGTGGTAAAGATTAATAAGATAATATATACAAAGCGGAATGTGGATTTCCTGGCAAATATTAGGTGTACAGTCCATAGGTGGTGCTGTTATTAATTTCTGTGAGATTCCATTCTCTCATCTGTAAAATGGCTATAAAATATTTACTCTTTAGTTAACTCTTAAAGATTACAGATAGCATATGGAAAGTGCCAGAAACATAGCTGCTGTTCAATGAATACTGTTAACACCTTGCAAGAGTCCAAGTGAGAGATGATAAACTGAGGCAATGGCAAGAAGGTTGAAGAATAGGTCATATTTTAGGGATCATTTTGAGGTAGAACTGACCGGATTTGGTGACATAGAGTGGGTACATGAATTTGGGAGTAATCAGCACAGAATAGTCCCATTCTTGGGCGTCTAGAGTGAGAAAAGATGAGGACCACATATTATAACCGGAAAATATCAATACCCAAGGAGCAGGAGGAAGAGAGAAAGACAGGGAATAATGCAGTGAAGAAGTGATTTGAGATGGAAAAGAATTAGAAAAGCAGAGCTGTGGAAACTCAGGGGTGGTGGGGAGACTTCCAGGAAGCATGAGCAGGATAAATGCATATTTGTGCTGCAGTACCTGGCAATCAGATGGGTCATCAATGAAACTCACAGAAGCAATTTCAGCATTGAAACTGTGTCACTATTGCTCCAATCCCAATGACAACACCTTTATCCTTCCTTGACATATTCTACTCACCTTGAACAACTAATTCCACCTCGCTTCTGTGTTTCCCAATCAGATTAACTCCTTCACACACGTAAATTCCAGAATATTCCATTCTCATAGCAATTAAAGTGAGAGTTGCATTGTCAGAAAGGGGCTGTAGATTTTCATTGTCTAATTTCTTGCTCCAGAAAATCTGTGGAGCTGGTAGACCCTCACTGGAACATGTCATTGTCACAGAGCCACCTTCTTGCAGCCTTGTGGAGGGATTCACAGAGATAACTGTATTTTGGGGTGAGACTGAAAAGGAAGGATGTAATATTAGGAGTTGCTAAGCATTATCCCAATCCAACAGGGGTAATACGTTTCTCTCACAAACTGTATGTATGTGCTTCCACAAATTTGATGAACTTACTCTGCCAAATTGCCATAAGGAACTGCTGAGTCATTAAAAATAAGCAGTATAGTTTCTGACTAACCTGACTGAATTACTTTTTTTGATGTTTTGTGTTTTCAGATTGTCACAGATGTTCGTAAATTAAAAAGATTGTCATAGATGTTCGTAAATTAAAAAGCGTCATGTGGCTCCAACTCCCATCTAAGGGTAGGAGTCCCATCTAAGCATCCTTGGCACATGCTCATCCAAGACAGCTTCAACATTTAATGAGAGTCAACCCATTGCCTTAGAAAGCGGTCAGTTTGATTTTTGGACAGCTCTAATTATTAGAATATTTTCCTCTATTGAGCTGAAATCTTCCTCTCTATAACTAACTTAAACATATTGCTCATACATAGCTCAGCCCTCTACTGTTACAGAATAAATGAAATCACTCTTTCACACAACTGTCTTTCAAACACTTAATTAAAGCTCTCTTTTCCAGGTTTTGTATTTTCTAGGAAAAATATTATCTGTCTTGATTATTCTTCTCAAAATATTAAAACTTATCCATCTCATTCTCTTTTGGCTAAACACACTACAGTTGACAATACTTTTAAATGTGGTACCCAGAGCAGAACACAGCATTTCAGTCGAGAACAGAGCAGAGTGTGTCCACCCTTACAAAATTCTGAGACTTCAAAACTGCCTCAAATCTCCCGGCAGTCTCAGGGACATAGGAGGCAATTGAACCCCCTCGCCTTTCCCCCACCTGGTGCATATGTGTACGTGTGAGCACATCATATACACACGCACACACAAACACACAGAGAATAACTGCTCACCTTTTTGAGTTTCTATACCTGTGCAACTAATATTTCAAGGCTTATTATGAGAGTTTACACAACAAGATTAAAAACATTTTATAATTTGACCTATTTCCTACTACCCACTCAGATGGTATTGTTATTCCCCTTTGATAGACGGGGAAATAGAGAAATTAAGTTACCCAAGCTCACACAGTTAAGGGAGCCGGCAATTAAGTTCAAGTCTTCTCAAATACAGTATTCTTTTCATTGAATTATGCTATTGGCAAATATTGTGCTTCCAATGAATAAAAATGGAACAAAAACTATAAACAAATTTCTTGTTGACCTAGTTGCTAAGTTTATTGCGATATTATATTGCTATATCCAAGACTGAATTCCCATAAAAACTAGATCACATCACACAAGTACTTACTGTAGACTTGCAGTTCTTTTGTAGTCTCCCTTTCTTTGGGCACAGAATCAATTTCATCGATGTGTAATCTAGCTCGGCAAACAAGAGCTTTTCCAGTATCCTCGATGATAGGAGTAAAGGTTACTTCCACACTCTTGGTTTCGAGGGACTTCCTTTCCACATCCTCTACAAAGGCCTGACTCTTCATGTGATGGTCTCCCTTCCATAAATCTATTTCCAGCCTGTCAAACGGGTATACATCAGGGACCAAACACTTGACTATGACCGGCTTTCCAGCCTCCAGAGGGCCACTGAAATGAATCTCTGGATCCTTAGGAAAAGCTGCAAAGATCAAGTAAATACATAGTGGACTTTTTGGTCACTTTTTCCTCATAGAATAAGGTCTCTTACTGTTTCAATGCAATGCAAATCAAGTCTAACATTTTGTTAATATAGTCTCAATACAGCAGAATTATGTAAATAGCCTTCCATGATTTTGAGTGGGTTCAAGGAGCAAGAATCAGAACAATCATATTTTAGAGGATTCTTTGGTTCTGATCCTCTGTGTATTAAGGGTTGCATGTTATTGGAGTTTGGAGTAAAAGAAGGAAGAAAAAAAACTAATGTTTATTGAAACTTACATGTGCGTGTCACTATGATATATACTTAACATAAATGATTTTATTTTATCCACACAATAACCCTAAGAGATAAAGACCACATTTCACAGATAAGAAAACTTGGACTGGGCATGTGTGTGTAACTTGTGTGAGGTGACACCGGTAGGAAGGTAAACATGGGACTTAAACTCAGGATTTCTATTACACCGTGTTACTACTGCAGATTTAGACTATCTCACATTCTCTTAGGACAGCTGTATTTCCATTCTACAGATAATGACTGTAAGGCTCAGAATGTCATTGCAAAGAACAGTTATTGAACAAGATGTGCTTAGAAATGAAAAGGCAAACTTTAAATAACTGGCTTCTGAAAATGATGCCTCTGACAAGAATATATCCACCAGAAAGGTACTCCTGTGCAGTCTTTACATTCCAGAAGGCAGATTTGTTTCCTGAAATGCCTAACTCAATGTCCCACCATGTATTCCACTGAAACTTCCAGCGCTAGGAAACACACGATTCCAGTTGGCCATTGCCTCCTTTGCAAGGGTTACCTATTTCCTCACACACTGCCGTGATGGCAACACGTTGGTAGCTTCAAGACTGTGTAGTAAAAAGAATATAAAGATCTCAACTCTAAAGAATATTACAATCAAATGTGAAATGGAGACAGACTGTTAAACATAATGAGAAACAGACACTCTTAGAGAAAAACCCCAGGCAAGATAATTAAAGCCAGAAGGGTCTTCATTTCTCTTTTTTAAGTCTTCAACTATTTGGTACTTATGGGCAAAGGTGAAGGAACTGGAAATGCTTTGCTATGTGAAAAACATAGCATTTAAAAATTTTTCCACCAGTAATTTCTGTCCTTCAGAGTCTGTAAGAAATGTGCCTATTCTATGCAGTTTGATGTCAGGTAATATAAGAACTTGCTACTTTTTCCTGTATTTACATAAGGGGACCTTTCAGGGAGCTCAGGAGGCTGCACAGACATAAACTATGCATGTACAACCAGCATAATTGAAAGCAGCCGGCTAAGCACAGTTTTTCGGGAAGCTTTAGCAACACATAGGGCTTGTTGAAAAATCAGTTAAGGTTACTGGGCAAAGTTAGACTCCAGTATGGTAGAAAGGAATGAGCATATTTATAATCAAATGAGGTCTTCACGAAGAAATGACCATAAATGAGTCTAGTTTGTTAGAAAGAGACGCCATCAGTAACCAAAGGCAAATAATTTGTTAGGTTAGATTTTTACCTCTCTTGCTAACTTCATTTGCTGAATTGAGAATAGAATGGGATGCGTTTCAGTAGCTGGTAAACTGGGAGTATTCGTTCACTTTCATGAGACGAAACTAGTTTATTATACAAATATCTTTGAGGTTGAGCACCATGGCTTTGAGGCACCAAAAAAACACAAAATTCCTAAATTTATTGACACCACAATCAAACAAGTGAAATGCTTGTAGATTTTTTTTCTAATGCTTAAGGAGAAAATTTTTATACTGAAGCCTATTACTAATTATGGACCTTCTATTTAATCTTTAAACTGATTTTAAGCACCAAATTGCATAAGAATAAATGAATAGAAAATCCCTGGAAGATGGAATTCATAAATCATTTAGACACATGAGCAAGTAAACATGTAAGAATATAATCAAATGAAAAATTTTTTAAAAATTAAATAAAAGAATCTTAAAGATTTTCGTTTTAGGCCGGGCACGGTGGCTCACGCCTGTAATCCTAGCACTCTGGGAGGCCGAGGCGGGAGGATTGTTTGAGCTCAGGAGTTCGAAACCAGCCTGAGCAAGAGCGAGACCCCGTCTCTACTAAAAATAGAAAGAAATTAATCAGACAACTAAAAATATATAGAAAAAATTAGCCGGGCATGGTGGCGCATGCCTGTAGTCCCAGCTACTCGGGAGGCTGAGGCAGGAGGATTGCTTGAGCCCAGGAGTTTGAGGTTGCTGTGAGCTAAGACGACTCCACGGCACTCTAGCCCGGACAACAAAAGTGAGACTCTGTCTCAAAAAAAAAAAGATTTTCATTTTATAGCTAAGGAAACTGAAGCCCAGAGAGAGCAAGTCTTATGCATAGTCATCACGTTTGTGGCAGAGGTGGAAACAGAAGCCAAGATTTGGATTCCTGATCTAGTGCTAGCATCAGCTACCTCTAGCTTTCTTGATGTCATTCGTTCTCTAGCCAAGAATCTGCACATGAATATCCTTTCAAAAACTTTTTCTTAAATATCCTCTTTTAAAAAACTAATGCAAAGAAAAATTGAGAGAAAACCAAACGTTCTCCAAAGCACTCACAGTAGATCTCTACCCGGATTCCTTTTTCCAGTTTCTCAGATCCACAAAATGCCATGCACAGGTAAGAGAGTTCGTTCTCAAAACTAACAGGATTCATGGTCAGCGTGGAGTTGGTCCCCTCACTCCTCACACTCGCATACAGCGGACTGTCCATCTGGGTTCTCCACATGAAAGACGGAGACTCACAGCCCGTGGTGCTGCAAGTCAATGAGACGGAGTCACCAATCTGAGCAAGAGATCTGGATTCAGGAGTGGTCTCCATTTTAAAAGCTTGAGCTGCAAAAGCAAAAGGGAAAAAAGCAAATTTGCCACTGGTTTCTCTAGTATTCTACCCCCTCTTCTTTGTTCTGGTATAATGTCCAAAGTATGATCTGACTGATCTCTTTCCTAAATTGCTTCAAACTAACTGCAAAGCAGCCAGAAAGCACTAAAGTCACTGCCGAAGAAGTTGTTGAAATTATCTTCACTCAGGAGAATTCTCAGTTCTGACTCGATGCCCATTTATCAAAGCTGTTTTGTTATTTGCTAAGTTTGACCTCATTATCAAGTATAGGAAACTAAAGAGATAGACCTACCAGAGAGAGTATCCAAATTGCTCATTTCACTTTGGGAAAAAAGCGATAAAAAATACATCAATTTGCAGCTCTAACTATGACAGTATAATGGCATGTAGCAAAACTCAATAGCACATTAAAAGTTGAGTTAAACTAACTTTTTCCACTGTTTAAAATCCTAGTGCTCTCTTCACTAACATAGGAAAACTGACTGAAGACAAAACCAAGGCTAAAATGGAATGCTAGCATTTGAAACAGATCAAGAAGAACTTACAAGCTGCAAACACTATCCAAAGCATATATGAGGCTCCAAAGATCACGACCATCCTCCCAGGCATTTTAAGTTGCCGCTGTGATGAGAAAATAATGGTTCCAAAACCCTTATTTCCGCTCCACCTGAAAGTGCCTGGGAAGAGTCTTCAGCCTCTAAAGCCAGTGAGGCTCGTGAGGAGTGAAATAGAAAGTCTGCTTCTTATAAAGGGTCTTGCTGCAGAGGCGGAGGGAAATCCCTTCAAGGGGAAACCCGGGGCAGAGCCAGGGAAAAAAGTTTAACTGACACCCAGCCAAGTCCCAGTATTAACCCCTTCAGTTGCTCTCAGTGCTGAAACTACTCTCTCTGTCCCAGAAAAATAAGACACTTCCAAGACTATAAAAGATCAGGCTTTTCCTGATCTTCAAATCCAAAAGGATATCTTTACTAGAAAAGGACAAGACCACACTCACTGCAGAATGAAGCTTTCTGAATCTAATGGAGGCAGGGGAGGGAGAAATAGTAAATTATACTTTAGTTTTTGAACGGAAAAATAACCACTATGTCATGTGAACTTATTTTCTCTATTAAGAAAATACATTTGCAATTCTAAAATAGAGATTATATTTTATAAGAAAAAGAAAAAGATCCTTTCTTTTGATGAGTCATTTTTTAAAAGGGAGACAGCATAATTTCTTAATTTTATATTTTTTATTCATAAAAACAGTTCTTATGACAACAAATATCAGCTTTCTGAAATTATTTTCTTGAGTGGAAAGTAAAAGAATGCATTAATAATTAAATATTGCTGCCAAAACAAGGGATCTAGTTTTTCCTCTTTTGTTTCAGAGAAGCTACCACCTCTTTGGTCGAATTGCTAGATGACTGGAAATCTTTCGCAGACTTCAATGCAACTGTATGGAATCCATCTGAAGTGGCAAATCTCTTGGGCTGTGGGATTTAGCCACAAGTCCAGTTAAAACGTGAAAAATAATTTGTTATTGTTATAGGGGAGGGGATGATAACCAATTTTATGTTTTCGTTCCCCGCAGTGAAATGGCTTTTTTAAAAGCTCAATTAACTGGCTGGTTTAAGCTTACACACATATAGCCTAAGTCCTTGCAAAAACGCTTACCCATCAAAAAGAAACCGGAATAGCCACTTCCTTACACATGTGCAGGTCTACCTCCCCCATCAGATCATCAGTTCCTCTCACGGCCAGGACCAGTTCTTGTTCAGCATCGTATCTACTTCTACAATATCTCATGCATGGTTTTGCACTCAGTGGATACAAAAAAAGTGCAATAATAAATATTGCAAATTTGGAAAAGACACTTCTAAAAAATAGCAATAATATGTAAATACTGAATGAGAAAGCTCCTACCAAGTAGGAGCTTTTGAAGGAGCAGGAATATGTGTGTCCTGTTCACCATTAGAGCTTCAGCACTTGACATAGTGACCAGCAGATAGTAGGGGCTTGGTAGATCACTACTGAATGAATAAATAATAACAATTTGAAAGAAGATTTGACTTAGAGCCCAACAGTCCTGAGTTCAAGTCCAGCTACTCCACCAAGGAATTATGAAACCTTGCACAGGTATAGGTAGCCTCTCTGAGCAGGTTTACAAAGGCTCAGATAGGAATAAAGCACCAGTTCAAATGATTTTCATGATTTTATGACTATCGAATCAAAACTGATCATATGAAATATCTTCAAATAAATATAGTAAAGTGCTATATAAATGGTATATAATAATAATTAGATACAACCGTATTAAGTTCATTGTAAAGAACTTTCCAGTTATTAAATTTTTTTGAACAATGCGATGGCTCACCTTGTGAATTTGCCAGCTAGTAGTCACTGCAAATATTCAAGCAAAGGTTGGGTGACATCTCTGAACAACATGGTAGAGGTCAAGTTTTCCCTTCTGTGAGATATCTAACTGGATGGCCATTAAGGTGCCCTCCAATGCTAAGATTCTGTTATCATAGTCAGTGCTATCCGCTCTTTCTAGCCTAACTTCACCAATCTTCTCCTTGTCCACATTAGTATTAAAAGCATCCTCTGCTACTGCTGTAGTTGAACTCTGAGACACTTCAGGCATGCTTTTTCAGCCTGTTTAATAACTACTAAATTTGTAGCAACTCCAACGCTTTCACAATTTCCAAGTAATTTATTGTGGGCCTCCCTGGAGCAGAGGTTCCTAACCTTTTTTCTTGAGTGGACTAACACATCTGAGGAAAGTGACATTCCCAGCAGTTATTATGAATCATTATTGCAGCAATTCTTACCCAGATGAAAGGAAGAGTAACTCCTTTTTTGAAGGGCATATCAGAATGTGGTAGGGAAAGTGAAAAACTATTTTGGTACATTCTACAATGTCAATTCTTCCTCCATTTGAGAATCACTACTCTAGATAGATGCCAAGAATCTAAGTCCATGACTCCATTTGACTTTAGGTAACAGAAATCTTTCACAGTGGCCTAATTAAATAGAAATCTATGGGTATGCAGTTCGAGACTGGATCAACTACCTGGAAAAACATCGAGGAGCAAGATTGATTCTAGTTCTGGTTTTATCATCCTTACCATGTGACTAACCCTCATGATCTAAGATGGCTGTTTCATCACCAAACATTACATCTGTGTTTCAGGCAGAAAAGCAAGGAAAAAGTGAAAGGCAAGAAATCAAAGCCAATGAAATCTGTCCTCTTTTAAAGAGCTCTCCAAGAAGTTTCAGGCAGTGACTTCCACTTATATTTCGTTGGAAAAGTGAGGAATGGAATATTTTAACTGAATACATTGTTGCCCCCAAATAAATCAAGATTGTGTTCATAATAAATGGAGGAGAATGGATGATAAGTAGGGAGGCAATTAGCAGCATCTGTCACAATTTCCTAATTCAGTTGAATCCACAGAAAGTTAATTGAGAAACTACTATATAGACACTGCTCTAGCACCAGGAATAAATAAATGAAGACATGGACACAGTTCATATCGGAATGAAGAAGATCTGTGTGGTATCAAAATAGAACTTTCACACAGTTCAACTTGTGACTCAGAAGAGGAGCCATTTATCCACAATCAGGAAATAAAATGTATTTTAGCAAGCTGATCTAGGTTTGAGATTTTCTGGAAAGCAAACTACAGGAAGGATCATTGTCTGATAAGAAGCTTACTTCATCATGAGTTTATTGTGACTTTCTGGAATCTTGAGAAAGATTCTGCTTATCATTAAAAGTAAAAACTATTATGTAATAAAATACACACAGGATGAGTGATTTATTGAATTTTAATATAATACTAAATTATTACACAAAATAATAATAAGACTGCCAATATAAAAATTATTTCTCCTTTCTTTTTTGTAAATTTATTTAACAGAATTCAGAATTTGATCATTTATGCTCTGACTGTGCCACATGTTTAAGTTCAGCGTTTCAGGTGGACGAAGGTGCCTTTATGTATTCCAGGTCTCCTGTTTGAGACGAACTTCCACGCTCTTTGCTAATCCCCATTTCTGGCCTTCTTAGAAAGCATCTTGCCTTGCAATTGTTTACTACTTACTATTTACAGCATGAGCTTTACTTTCTCAACATATTTCACATCTTTGGGTATAGAAGTCTTGCTCCTTTTTACATATTATCTGATCTGATGCTCTGTCTGCCCCAAGTACCTATTAAGTGATGAAATAAGTAAGTGCATGCTTTCGGCAGCAATAATTCAGGACCATTTCTTTCAGTTACTAATAACATTTCACATTTGTGCAACTCTTTACCTAAAGAGTACCTTAAGATTATGGCCTGTGGGTCCCACAGCAATCCTATGAGAGAGCTGGGGGAGGGGGTTGTTTATCTTCACAGTGTCCATCAAGAAACAGAGGCTCAGAGAAGTTTGCTTGCTTGAGCAAGATCACAGAGACAGTGAATAGCAAGAATTAGGTCTTAATCCCAGCTATTCTCTCTCCCTGTTCTCTATTTGGTGCACTACGCCAAGTTGCCTCAGTGCTTGTTGGAGGGATGCGCCTTTCCCTTCAGGCATTAATGCTGTCATGTAGAGCATCAGTCCACAACCTATTTGACACCAGGGACTGGTTTCATGGAAGACAATTTTTCCACAGACATGGGTGGGGGGTGATTTTGGGGTGATTCAAGTACATTGCATCTATTATGCTCTTTCTTTCTATCAGTATTACATTGTAACGTATAATGAAATAATTATACGACTCACCATAATGCAGAATTTGACAAGAGGTGGAACTCAGGTGGTTTGCGAGCGACAGGGAGTGGCTGTAAATACAGATGAAGCTTCGCTCACTTAAATGCTGCTCACCTCCTGCTGTGCAGGCCAGTTCCTAAAAGGCCATCAACTGGTACCAGTCCACAGCCTGGGGCTTCAAGACCACAGATATAGATGACCCAGAAGCCCATGAGATCTAATTCAAATCTGAGTATGACAAGTGACCCAGGAGGCTGCACCCACGTCACCTCAATTTGATGACTATAAGCTTCTTAACACCAACTTCAGGGCCATATTTGAATTTTAAATAGTGGGAAAACTTATGCTGAGCTTTTAGAATCTTCTGTAGGTGTCCAAGAAGAAAAGAAATGAGCAGACAATATGGGAACATCTTGTCCAAATTCACTCTGGAGGCCTCAGACTGTAACTCCAAAAAAGGAATTCCCTTTACCCCTTGTTGGAGCTTATGGAGCCTAGTAAGGAAATTAACGGAGCCTCTGAACACCAAAACATACCTCCTGCCCACGTTCTTGTAGCTGCCTCCAGTCAGCCCAAATGGGATTTCCTCGGAAGACAGCCCCATGAGCCCCATCCCACCACACTTCCTGGCCCCATATGAATCTAACTCTCATCTCCACCAGGAGATGAGATGAAAATATGGGTCCTCTCCCATTCTAAAATGATTGCAAAACATCTGTTTACATTATTGAGAGGAGACTTGGAGAGGACATTTCATGAGCTTTTAAATAGGGACAAGTAAATACACGAGAAAAAGAAAGGAACAAATACCATGAGAGAAAATTACTCTATACAAATGTATTATATTTATTTATAAATGGCTCACGTATGTAATTTGGGAATGATCTCATAATGCACAATGATCAGAGTCTGGTATCTAAACAAGTAAAAAAAAAAAATTCTGCCATTTGACTAAAGCATAGACATTTTTTTCCCCAAAGCATAACATCTTTGGAAATATCTCTTTAAAATGTGAGGACTTTTTATTTATATGCTAAATTAAAGTTCCAATTTTCATAAGCAACACATAAGATTTCCTTTGG